GGGGGTCCCTATGGCGAGGCACTGTAGACTTCTATAGAAAGACTGTCGGGCACAACCCAACGCACACACCCAAAAAAGTCGAAAAAAATTTTTTTGGCCGAAAGATTGTTTACAGGGGTAATCGATGGCCCCGATCATGATTTTCACACTTATTTTCGGCGCCGACGTAATTTGGCGCCTGGGTAGCGCTACACATCCCTTACTTGTGTGTAGCAAACGCATTCATTGGGAGAAACATGTCACTCCATATTAGCGATAAATGGCACCGTAGCTACAAATAAGTTCCATATTCGTGATTCGGGCATGGTCTGACCTATAAAGGTCAACTTTCAATTACGGTCTTGCTTAATGGTATGTAAAACCTGTAATAATTGAATAGCACTGATTCATGGAGTGTTCCCATTTAAAATGTGCCCATAAATGGCAGTTATCGAACGCATACTCACGCACAGACATATTTGAACGCGAAAACAGCAAAACATAAAAAATGCAAAAACTCGCACGCCGAGGGGAGTCGAACCATCAACCCCACCCCAACTGTCCGCTTGAGAATCCTTCACGCTATCCACTAGGCCATCCGATCGTTGTTGCTGAACATTCCTCCGATCGTTGAAGAAACCATTCCGTGCACAAGTAAGACCCCATACCCCGACTACTTTTCTCTTCGATTCCGATAGTACCTTTATAGGGTCCCTCCATTCAGCAACTGGTCAAAGTTTCAAGCGGTTTACAGCTCGTAGGCTCAAAAACAATCAGTTTCCATAGGTTTCTTTTTCGCTCCTTTTTTGGCATTCCAGGGGCCGCTCAGCCAAAACGAAGCCCACTTTTATGGTTCATGGGCAAGGCCCTACAAAGTGCAATAAACCGTTTCGAAAAAGCGGGGCACGCCCTGAACGACCTCCCTTGTTAGTTCGGTACTTTATTACGAATTAGCTTGCAGTTTTGTCAGCGGTTGCATCCTCCTCCCTTGGTGCGTGCTCCTCCTTACCATTCCCCGAACCGACCCCCTCCACCCAACCTCTTCTCCATATTTCCCTCCTAGCTCGTGCACAGGTCCGGCTGAGCACGTGCGGGGGAAGGAAGCAAAGGAGCAAAGGGAGGGGTCACTTGGTACCCGATACACAATCAAAATATTGGATCGATACATCTGCACCAATCCGGTTTCCGGTTTGTCTAGCGGTCGTTTTCTCCTCCAGCTAACGTGTTCGAACCCGTGAAGCATTTTGCGGACGGACAGACATACAAAACATATATACATACCGACTGCTTTATAGAATAGAAGGATACCAGTCGGATCGCCCGGCTGACGCCGAGCTCTCCTCCTTCTCTTTAGCTGGCTTGGCCTCGCCAGGCGCACTTCATAATGGATGCGGAATTTGTTCATTCACTTAGCTACTCATACTGCGCTGGTCTGATCGAATCGTAATAGATGGAGCAACTCACGCGCGAGCTTACGTCCAGCTTCCACGAAGCTTGTGCCATGGCCTGGAGTGTACTGAAGTATTATCACAATCAAAACAACATCTTATTTGTTACTTTATTTGGATTAGTTTGCAGTTTTGCTGGCGGTTGTATCCTCCTCCCTTGCTGTGTGCTCCAAACGTGCGCTACGCACCCCCTCACCCAACATCTTCCCTTGTTCCCCTACCCTGCACGTGCTGGTCCAGCTGAGCACGTGCAGGGGAAGAAGGCAGAGGGTAGGACCCTCCATCCCACCCCTGCCCGCACGAGCACACGTCCAGCTGCCACCCGAGCAGCTCGTGCAATGGCTCGGAGTGTACCGAATGGTTGTCTTATATATGCTGTTATCACAATCAAAACATTGGATTGATACATCTGCACCAATCGGTTCCCGGTTTGTCTAGCGGTCGTTTCTCCTTCCACTAACCTGTTCGATCCCGTGAAGCATTTTGCGGACGGACAGACATACAAACATACAGGGGGGCAATAAAAAAAGACACTTCGACCGAGTTACATATCAGCAAAGTTTTCGCAGCCCAGACAGAGGACGTGGATACGAGTACCAGGGCGGAAGATACCCAAGATGTTCCTCGATAAGCAGGAGCTGGCTCTCGCCCATCACCTTCATGTACACCAAAATATGAAGTCATCTCCAGTCGCAGCCTGACTGGAGAAGACCTTTGGAATTCATGTCACCTCCAAACAGCTGCGAAACTTCTAGTGTGGAGTCACCCATGGATAGCTACCTGGAGTACTCTCGATCTGGAAGACCTCCAACATCGAGCAGCTCCGACAACGTCGCTACGGTCTAGGACATCATCTTCACCACAGTCGCCAAGGCGCGGGTTGATGGTATGGACCGGACGTACCTGGAATGGAAAGACCGATATTTTCTTCGTGGACCCCGGACTGAAGGTGAGCGCTGGCGGTTACATCGAGCAACTCGAGAAGAATATCCTCCCCACATGTCGTCGCCCGTACCTTCTTGGAAACTTTGTACTGCTACAGCATTGGGTGCCACCACGTGGAATCGAAGGGCGTTGGAGAAACTCTCGCCTACCTGGAATGGAAGGGGGCTGAGTACCTAAAGAAGATGGAATATCCAAGTAGGTCACCTGACCTGAATCCCCTCAATTACCCGGTTCGGGCGGAGTTCAATAGGGTGGTCTACGGTGGCGGAGAAATCGACTATCTCGCTGATCTCAGGCACCACATCGCGGTCGCGTGCCAGAATCTCTCGATGGCGCTCGTCCAGAAGGCTGTGGCGGAGTGTCATGATAGTATTTAATATGCTCTTTAATATGGTGGTAAAAATGTCCGATCAGAATTCAATAAAGTGTAACTTAGCGCCTCGAAAGTCAAGGAAGAAAAGTGTCTTTTTTTATTGCCCCCCCCCTGTACATACTTACATACATACATACCGACAAACCGACACACAAAGTTAGTGGTTTATAGAATAGAAGGATTTCACGTTGACTGCATGGTTAAAGGTCTTGCAATCAATCCACCTGAAGAGTATGGTTTCTGGCAGGATGGTACTAGCGCCAGAGTTCAGTCCTCAGACAATGAACTTCCTGGCACTTCAGCTTGCAATGAATGCCAAAAAACAGTGGAGCAGGAGGAAGGCAAGAAGTAACAAATGATGACTGATTAATAACACTAGGACACGGAAGGCAGCTGAAAAAAACTACTCCAGGAATAGGGCGTAAGATTTCTAAAGGTGTATACTGGACCCATTGTACTGCGCGCTCCCGCTCTACCGAATGAAGGCGAACGTGAGCTGATAAAGAGTCAGTCTATCAAATTGAATCGCTTGCCAGTATCTACTTCTTCGCCGGCACTATCGAAGCGACATCACTCGGCCGCTCGCGAGCCAACGGACCATATGCGGCAATTCCAAGATTCCGATTCTCCGAAACATGGTCCCCGCGCTCAAGCAACTTGTAGGTGTTCTTCCCTATACAAAAAGTCTGGTCTTT